ACCTTGCATCCTCACACCTCGTAACAAAATGCGAACCAAGGACGACGGGACAACACGAAATAATTGTCGGGCCCCTTCCCCTCCCTTCCTCCCCTCTTCTCCCACCCCTTGTCCTCTCTGGTCCCCATTTAAGACTAGCATCTGACCCCCTTTATCCCTTTACACCTCCCCCCCTTATCCCCCTAATGACTACTGATTGGCGGCTTTAAATTTCGTTAACTCTACCCTCCCTAATATTATCGTATTGCCTGATGATGAATTAATCGAAAACGTTCGTTCGCCTAATTTGACTTCCTGAAAAACGCAATTGCTTCATTCATTAACGTCCTTTTTAAAAACAAACGGCCTTACCACGTTTCTTTTGAAATCGACAAAGCGCATTGAAGTGACGATCCACCTCACTGTTCTTTAGAGGTCTCTAAAAGCATGAAAAAACTGGTCAATTGATGGAGCCTGCAATTTTCAACCTTGGTATAAATGAGTAAAACGTGATGGGCAATAATTTCGCTGACTTTATTAACGCCTAGTAAATATACGTTCTATTGAATAATCCACAATGTAATGTAGCCCTTTTACTCCCGGTTTTTTTAGAAACGTTTCGATTGACAATTATTATAGGTACTCATGAGATTCAAGCTGAAAGTTACTCATATTTTCAATGTAAGTAAACGACATCCCTTAATCATCTGAAGAAATAAGGCAGGAAGTCTTTTATGACTTTCTTCAATACCGGAAATGACTTACCTTCCTTACACTGGTCTTATCAGCTGTAAGCTTTACTGTACTTCTTCTACCTGTCAACTATTGAACAATGCAAAAACAGATCAGCTACCAAGGTTTCCTCCACGAATCAAGAAGAAACAAAGCATGGTTATTTAGAAAAATCTACGCTTTAGCAGTTATAGCCGGAGAATGTCAGAACACTCAGTAAAGACGTCTATGAGCACTAGAGCCAGGCCTCAGAAAGGGTAATATCTGCAAGTGGTATCTTCGAAGAATAAATATAAGACGACAGGAAAGGATTCCCTTTTGATATCAATGTAGCTGCATATCCTTATTTGTGGAAATTCAGTAGCAAAAGACCAGCCAAATATGAGTCTCTATGA